TTGAAGTCTTCCTCCTCATGTACCTCTCTCCTTCGCTGTCGATGGCCTCGTACAGTTGCTGGTCGTTTTCTTTCATTGCGTGCAGGTAGCCCAGGTAGCCCACACACAAGGTGATGGTCACCAGTCCAAACACCATCACTGGTTTATTCTGCAAAACAACAGCGCTATATGTAACAGTGAGGGGTTTGGAGGGGGTATGTCTGTCAGGCCCATGAACTGTGTCATTCTGTGTGAGTGAAATAATACATAATCTTTCCCCCAAATGAGCTAATGTTAGATATTTTCAGTGAGGGGTCTGTTGTTTCTCAACTTTCTGCCTATTCTTTTAAGAGGCTGACTTTGAATTTACATGTCTCACCTGATTCTCCATTGTTGCACAGTTTCTAAAATCTCAACAGATACTAGAGGCTGTTTCAGACATGGATTAAGCTTTGTTGTTAAGCACTGTGAAAATGTGGACTGGACTAACGGGGAGAGCCTGGAGACTGTTCAGTGTGTAGAACCTGTTTGTGAAAACAGACTGAATCACTTTAATATAAGAGCTGCTGAAGACTGGGACGTAGTTGAAAGCTCCAGAAAATGCTAATAAGTGGACCTTGACCTGATAGGGCCAAAGAATAAAGCTGCCTCTGCGTAAGTTACTCGGACAGGTCAAAGTGGACCAGACCTTTTTCCTGTCCTGTCAGTACTTTGTAGGTTGGATCTCTTTTATTAAGTGCGTCACTTACGGGATGCTTGGCTTTAAATTAAAGATGACATTTGAGATAAGACCTCAAGGCAAACACGTGATTTTAAAGCATTTATAGGTTCATTTAAAAGTGAAATGACCATCTAAAGAGACTGACGATGATTTGGCGCGTGTGTAATCATGTGAGGCACATCCCTGACTAACTTACAGAATAGTTACTCGCTAACTTATGTATTGGCTAGCTACTAAAGTAATATTTAAGCTAATTTAAAGTTCCACCGTTACTGCTTTGCTCAAACAACAGCTGCGAGGTGTGTGTGTGAGTCTTACAGGTTTTATGAAGAGTTCGGGGTTGACGGCTCGGAACAGGGTGGTGGTCTGGGCGCCCCTCAGCCCGGGTGTTCTGTAACCCTTTTCCCCGGGACTCTCCTTCCCTGCATCTGACATGTCCGGCCAAACTTGTGCACGGCAACTCAGAGAAAAATATGATGATGAAGCTCGGAAAACAAACGTTTTGGACTACGCTGCCCTGAACGCAACCATGTTTTCGTTTCAAAGTCAAAGACGACGAGTTTGAAGAAGAAGAGGAGAGTGGAGCGGTCACAGCGCCCCCAGGGGTGCTCAGCGGAACTTCCACGGCGGCCATGTTTGCTTTTACTGAGCCGCGGGCTACCTTTTTCCCAGTTAAAGATGAACTAATGTTCTTAGGAATAACCTTTGTCAAGGATCAAAAATCTAGAGGCCTGATTAATTTATCAAAAAGACCCAAACAAAACTAAATCAGTGGTTGCAGCGGGACTAGAGAGTCGAGTCCTGAGGGAATAGCTGCTCTGTCCTTATAGCTTGATGATAAATTGTGCTGGAAAAAATAGACCAGATGCTAGTAATTTTTTTGTGGAACAACTGTATACATTATGTTAAGAGTGTTGTGATTAATACCTTTAAGATTAATTGGATTAAACAATTTGTAAGGAGTCTGAACTCAATATGAAACTTGATCCCCTATCATGTATACTCTATGTTTGGTGGCCTTAACTTTATGTTGGTTTGTAATTATGATATTGACAAAGTACCTGTAAAGCTCTCTGCTTTTCATCGGCAGGTCTTTTTGTCATGGGCCCTAATTTATAATTTCTCTCTGCACAGATATTATATCTGGAACAATCGTGACATTTTGTATAAAAACATAGAATGGAATATTGATTCAGGAATAACATTTTACTGGTAAGCCAGCTTGTAAATGAGGAGGGTTTTCCTCTTACTTATCAGGGATTTCTACAACTAAATGGAATCCCTGTAACACCCGGAGATTTGCTCTGGTTTTGGATGCCATACATTCGGATGTACTTGTATTGTTGTATATGCGATGGATTGTGGTGACTGTCCAGTAGGTAAGGTTTGCTTCTCTTCCCATCTACGTAACAGCAATATATAGTGTCTATACCCTATGTCAGTTCTTACCAGTTGGATGTTGCCCCATAAAAAATAAATAAAAAACCTGTCACAATGGAAGAGTAGGTTAACGTCAACAAGAAAACACAAAAATCATGGCTCCAACATTGATGCAGGTGTCATCTTACAGCCCCTGTTATTTCAGCTATGGTATTTTCAAACAAATTGACCCACCATGACGATTAAAGGCCTCTGGCCTCTTTTGTACAGCTGTCTGCTTTGCTTAGTTGGCAGTCCAGCCTGGTTTCTTCCACGTAATTGTCACTTCTTAAATCAAAATTATTCTTACACACACACATGTGCATACACATATACATGTGTAACCCTGGGCAACATGTGGGTGTCAGCCCTTTGGACGGGTGGCACTCTAGGGACACCTTAGGCTTTGACTTAAACACAAATAATCCATGAAAGTGGACATATCTGGAACAAGTGGGAAATCAGAGCAAACTGATTCTCACACACACAAACACAACCTTATAGAGGAGGTGAGGTACACGCAACACAACAAAAAGCTATGCTTTCAAGAGACTGAAGTGGGAAAAGGAGCAGAGAGGAAGAAAAAGCAAAAACAAATGAAATGTCACGTTTCATGTTAGATGCTGTTTTACACAAAAACGTGCTAAGATCTCTTTAAACAACAATTATTCTTTTTCTTTTTTTTTGTTTCATTTAAAATACATGAAGTAGTGGATTCGTGTATGTTTTATTGAGGGGATTTTCACTGAGAGGACACCTCTCTTTTGCAGGATCACCTCATCCCTTTCACGCCTGGAAGCTGCCAGTACAACCACAGTCTGATCTGCTGGCCACTGAGCAGCTACACTGAGCCACTCAATGGTTGGGGTTAAGGGCCTTGCTCAAGAGTGGTAAATGAGGGAGGGCAAGGGCTGCTTTTTCACTTTTCCACACCCAGATTTAGTCCCAGGGATTGAATCCAGTCACAGGCTCTGTACTTAACACAATAGGGCTCTTTTAGTGTGAACAAATCCCACATGCAGTGACAAACCACCACAAGTCCTGTTAAATCCATCAGGGAGCATCACTGGTGAGCTGGGTAACAAGTTCCGCCATCACCATGAACACACACACTGTAGTTTATTCTGACTCAGTCCCACACACACCATCCTATTGCCCCAAATATTCACTAGAGCACCAAATGTGGATTCATCTGCTGCTGAAAATAGTCCCCAACAAATGCAGAATTTCCTACTGTTTGTTTGCCAGAAACTACATTGATTAGCTGTTTAAGGAAATTACTGAGCCTTCTTAAACATGAAACTATATTTTTGTGAAGTCTTTTTATAGATTTAAATCTTCAGGAGGAACCAATGGGCTTGGAGCTGAGAGCCACAGACAGGAAGTCAGACAGACTGCTGAGACACAGACTGACATGTTGCTGGTTTGGATCTTTTTATGAGATAATAACAAAAATACAGAATAATGCCAGCTTTATCCCTAAACTATCATAATTAAACGTTTCTAATGCAGAATTAATGGCCTTTGTTGATTATACATTACTGTATTTTTATTATTGATGCATTAACATGTAAACAGTATTCTGTTTTAGGTGAAGTTACATAATCACAAAGTACCGTACTTTATAAACTGATGTATTTTGTGTGTAAAATCTAAATTTGCAATAGTAACTCACAGATAAATGACAAAGGTATACATACTGTTCAAAAAACAACAATTAATCAACACAGTGTAACATCAAGTCAGTTAAACTTCAGGGATATCAATCTCTCCAATCAGGAAGCACAAGTGATTAAATTAATGTTACCTGTTTGGTGGAAATGAAAGTGGAGCCACTGGAGAGGCAACAACAAGACAACCCCCCAAAAGGGGAATGGTTTTTCAGGTGGTGGCCACAGACAGTTGCTCTCTCCTTCTCCTTCCTAGCTGATTGTTCTCCAGTTTTCTGTTTTGCTAGTGTCCTTGTCACTACTGGTAGCATGAGGCAGTACCTGCAGCCCATTCAGGTTGCACAGTTAGTCAAGCTCCTGCAGGATGGCTCATCCTTATCCCAGCAGAGTCTGAACACGGAGGAGATACCAGGAGACGGGCCGTTACATGAGTAGAGCTGTTTACAAGGCTGCTTTTGCTCCTTTGTGCGTGCAGGAACAGAAGGAGCACTGCCAGAGCTCTACAAAATGACCTCCAGTGGCTACTGGTGTGTGTGTTCTGGCCAAACTGTCAGAAACAAACTCCATGAGGGTCATGAGGGCCCGATTTCCTCCAGTGGGATCTGTGTTCACAGCCCAGAACTGTGCATCCCAATTGGCATTCACCAGAGAACACCAGAATTGGCAGGTAGTATGACAAAAAAAAGAAGGTGTTTTTTGAAAATTAAACCATGTAAACCTGTTCTGGTACAACCCCTAAATAGGATTTTGAACCTGAAAATGAGCATAATACCACCTCTTTAAAATATCTTTGTCACATCACTTTACCCAGATGAACTACAGTATATATTTACATAGGAACAGTTTCTTCCAGTGGCGCTTTTCTACAGCTTACGGCAGAGATCCCATCGATCCTGCTTGTTGATCAGTACAAGTTTTGTACAGTCCAAATATAATGCTACAACTATACAGCAGCACAGGAAAAGTATTTATTCTATAAGCTGAACATGTAAACTGAACAGAGTGGGGACTCATCAGGAATGTATGATAATATAAAAGTACACCTGTTATAGGCTTAAGAATGTCAAGAGTGTAAGCAACACCCTGACCAATCAGGATACGGGCACAGGCCTGAGGAGAGATGCATTATTCACCAGCAGTATAATGTGGCCTGACTCATCAAAGTTACATGTATCAGTGCGGGTAGGACGACAAGGAAACACAACTCAGGTGATGTGTGTTCTCTCCTCCCTGCCCCCACACACAGGCAGGAGGCAGTGTTTGCATTAGACAGACCCATGGTGATATTGTCTGTGTACACACTTCACATCAGACCTGCATGTTCAACAGGTGAGCCAGAGGAAGGCATCTGGTTACGGCATTTCTAGGATTCACAGTAGACCTGTCCATGTAAAGCAAACAAAACAGAAAGTGTGTGATCTCGGTCATAAGGTTGGCACAGAGCAGGGCCCTGCAGGACACACAGCGGAGACAGCTCCTGGTAAGTGCTCTGCTCTCACTTCTTTCTGACAATTCTACACAGCTTTTTAGTCAGATGAGACATTAGCATCTATCCCTAACTATTTCACCAGCTACTGTCAGAATACTTCTGATTCTGCTATTACTACTACTATTGTTATTATTATCACTGCTTCTGATGCTGCTATTAGTATTACTTTTATTATTGTCACTGTTGCTGTTGCTTTCACTTCTGATGCTGCTATTAGTATTACTTTTATTATTGTCACTGTTGCTGTTGCTTTCACTTCTGATGCTGCTATTATTAAGTATAGTATTCATAGATGGGTCATTCTACGCACTTTATTATGCTTAAGCCACACCATGTTCACTCACATACATTTATAGATCTCTCTTGTGTCTCATCTAGTGTTAGTTACTGTTTTGTGTTGTATGGTGTCTTGTCTTGTTAGTTGTTTAAGTGATCTTGTTTTTGGCACTGTGGACCGTGTGAAACTGCATTACGTTTATTTGTATACTCGGTATGTGGATGAATGACAATATACAAACTGCACGCGATGCCTCTGGGTGGATACTTTCCGGATGGGCTCTTGACCTACAGGCCCACAGCTGTTACACACGTAACATGCTGCAATTTCATTTTTCATGTGATAGAACTGTGACAAATACATGGGAATATTACTAGACTGTGCCAACAGGTCTGTGTGATTTACATTTCCAAGACATTAACAGCCAATAGGTTAAGCGGGGTATGTGATATTATGATGAATCTGTGTGAATGTGCAGGACAACAATCCACCAATCGTTAAGGGTGAATAAACAACCTGGCAAAGGCGGCAGCTGGTCATTTGAATATTTGCAAATTTGTTTGATCGACTGAAGCTCAGTGTCAGCTGAAACAATGAGGGCCTTAAGCCAGGCTAGTAGTGGGGTCCTGTATCGCCATTTCCATGGTGGATATTTCTAAATAAATGTGTTTCACCAAATAAACACAAACAGGTGGTCCTATATGTTCTATATAGGGTGGAGTCTAAAATGGGCCTATCACAGTTACAGATCTTGCATTATTGCTACAACAGTAGTTGACATAACAATAGTTTTGATTGGTCTGACGTTTCTATGGTAGAAGAAGAAATCATATGGTATTTTCACTCATCAGTAGGGTGATCAAGCACTTATAAAGGAGCAACAAAGCAAAATGTTTTGAAAGGCTCTTTAAAATAATTTTTATTTTTATTTTAGGTACTTTTAAAAAACTAAATCAGTGAGCTAAAATGAACCTCGTGCACACACACTGTTATACAGACGTGACACAGAAATTGAGGGTGCAAAACAGGTTCATAGGTATATACATATATATCCATGCATAACCTAAACAATCTCTACGTCCACGGTACAAATTATGTGTGGTAATATAGTGCAGAGGCTACCTATGTCAAAGAAGTTAAATATACCTAATTATTTTCATAATGTAGTCCAATAAATGCAATTCAGTGACCCCCAGGAGGGTGGTCATCATAGTATACTGTATCATGTAGTCCTACAATACATTTCTTGTAAATAGGTAAAAACCTTTTATACAGTCTAGGGTAAAAACACTGGAGTATCTCTGTATTTCCTATGCCTATCTGTTTATCTCTTGGCAGGTTACTCAGAGAAGATGAACTGGGGCTTTTTGGAGAATGTCCTCAGTGGGGTGAACAAGTACTCCACTGTGGTTGGCCGCGTCTGGCTCTCTGTAGTCTTCCTCTTCAGGATACTGGTGTATGTGGCGGCGGCTGAGCAGGTGTGGAAGGACGAGCAGAAGGATTTTGTGTGCAACACCCAGCAACCCGGCTGTGAGAACACCTGCTTCGACTACTTCTTCCCCATCTCACAATTGCGCCTCTGGGCTCTGCAGCTCATCATGGTGTCCACCCCGTCCCTTCTGGTGGCCCTACATGTGGCCTACAGGGAGCACCGGGAGGCCAAACTCAAGCGAAAACTGTACGACGACAAAGGGAGCATTGATGGAGGTCTGTTCTGCACCTACATCATCAGCCTGGTCTTCAAGACAGCTTTTGAGGTGGGCTCCCTGCTTGCGTTCTACTTCCTGTACAATGGCTTTGGGGTGCCCATCTTGCTCCGCTGCAGCCAGAGTCCCTGTCCCAACACGGTGGACTGTTACATTGCCAGAGCCACAGAGAAGAAGATCTTTCTCTACATCATGGGCTGCACCTCCATTCTGTGTATTGCTCTCAATTTTGTGGAGCTCGTGTACATTGTATGGAAGCAGCTGTTGAAATATTTCACCAAGCGGTACATCCCGGTGGAAAAGAAGGCTTACAGCCGCTGCCAGTCCCCTGTTTCTAATGTCAACAAGCTTGTCTGCACTGAGCACACAGTAAACACAGAGGACAGCAGCACACAGCCACCATTCCATGCTGAAACCTGCCAGTCCAGTCCCACAGGGCTGGATGGAGCACATTCTCCACCTCAAAGTGAAACAAAAAGCTAACACAGTTGAATGGTACAGATGGCATACATTGAGAAAGGCTGAGCTGTCATTTCATTTATCAGTGTGAACTGATATTAAACCAGTCCAAACACTAATGAAAGACGGGCCATTACACTTTGACTTGTCTGGATGAAACCTCCAGTTTAGGAGCAACCTTTCTATCTAAAGAGCCACTTTCGGCCAGAAAGAAAAAAATAAACTTGTTTGGAGCCGTAAAATTTTTTTTTAGCCCTTTAAATGCAGTTACCATAGCCTATTAGTCTAAATGATCTTATCAACACTAACAGGTCTAAACTACTATTCATTCACGTTTTACCACAAGGTGGCAGCAGTGGGCCTCTAGGCTATTTATGATTATTTGGCTACTTTATTAACTTTGCATTTCTAATGCAATGTTTTGGTGCATTTATGAAAACATACAAGTACAGCAGATCAAAACATTCTGGTAAGCCAGCAGTAGTGGTGGTGAAAGCAAACAAATCTATCCACGCACTAATCCCCTGAGATTTTTCTTTTTTGGATTTTGATTTGGATCCACAGTTTAGGAGAGCAGCTACCCACTCAGGACTCTGCTACTGAGTTTAGCAGCAGGATGTGGCATGATGACAAAGTGTTTTACATTTTTTATCCGATGTATATGCTACATGTTTTTACAGTTGAATACTTCTAGGATTACTTTAGGCTTACAATAGTGATAGAAAAATGTTATTTATTAAAATGTTTTGACAAAGTAGGTGAGCCACTAGAGAGGGGCAAAGGAGCCGCAGCCTGCAGACCCCTGACTTAGACTTTTAATCATGTTGAGGTTTGGACTCTTGGCTGGATACAACAGGCATGGGGAAGCTTTTCACTATTATCAGATTCTTTACAAACTAAACAAACAATGGATTAGTGGAGAAAATAATCAGCAAATTGATCCAGATGAAAATAATCATTAGCTGCAGTCTGATACTAAAGAGTTCAAACTCTGCTACAGCTCAACAACTACAGCAGCAACATCCTGCTTTACATATATAATAGTACACATAGTATATAGTATATACCAGTCACGGGGACATTTTACTGCTTCAATACTTTAAGGACATTTTCCTGATAATACTCACTTAATCTTACTTTCTTTTTACATGAGAAAGAGTAACAGAGTGTGATATTGCTACTTTTAACAGGTTATCACTTGACAAAAGTCCTTGTGAGATACTGTAGTTTGTTCTAGATATCTTGAGAACACTTTTGACCAGACATCTCTCTCCAGTTATTTTGTGACAATGGGGGCCCAAAATGTTCAATATAAAACAAATAAAAATGTTATTCCATACTATTGTTTTCACAAGATAGGATTTTTATTATACCATTTTCACCAATCTGATTTCATAATTGAACGACTGACTAGCTCTGTGCTGTTTTGTCTTGACAAAGCACAAAAAACACACTTTGAAAGAAAATCTTCTGGAATATTTGAAATGATCATAATGCTCTGTGGTATTCCTGCTTGTCTTTTAATATAGAACACTACTATCACAATGTTGTTAGAGATATCCAGATCAGATGTAATCCTGACCTGATGCTGGACATCAGTGCTTTGTATTTAGACTGCTGTTTAGTTCTTAAGATGAATCACAAGAGAAATGTGCGATTACCAGCAGATATCTGTTACTCACCACAGAAAACTCTTTCCAGTTAACCTCATTTTGCTAATAATATTTTAATTCATAAATACATTTGTTGACTCAATGCCTCAAAAATGTATCAAGTTATCTCTGATGTAGTTTTAGAAAGTCAAATTAAACTATTTTGTGCCACAGAAGTAAAACAAGACTAAAACTAAAAAAGTTCTAAAATGACAGCGTCACTCTCCACCTAACTCATCAATGTGCTGATCAAAGATTGGCTAACAATCTTTGATCAGTCACACGTGTGTATTCTGAAAGTCAGTCATCACAGTGTGAACGTGTTCTTGTTCTTTTATGGTTCTTGACAATCTGTTCTGTTGTTTAGCAACACTACACTTTTTTAAAGTTAAATAAGAATTAAAGTTAAGATAAGTTAGCTGTTAGTTAATCAGTCTTTCCCAACTTTGTATAGGTGCTGTTTCTGTTAACCTGGTGGATTTTCATTCCTGCTATTCACATGCTACAACTGAACATGTTAAGTGCAATAATAAAGTCTTAATGTATACACCTTGAAATAAATCTGCTCTTCTTTCTCAAAGATGTACTGAACACACTATTTAACAGCTTCTCCGCTGTGAGCTGCTGCTTTGATTGACAGTTCATCCACAATTGAGATCTGACCAGCACTGCTAAAGGACCCCTTTAAAACCAGTACAGCTTTTACGTTTTGTGTCTGAATTAACCAAAGAGACAGTGTGTTGATTAGTGGGCTTTAAAGGTGTTGCTAGGTGTACGGCGTGTTTTGAAGTAAGCACTACAAATGCACAAAATGACAAGAGTGGAAAACTTCCATAACACCTAAAATTAGTTCAGAAATCATGACTACAGCATAGAGCTCATTTGTTTTTAATCATCAAAAACTTGAACCACAAAATCATTTTCCATTCAGTGTGCATGCAGCAGCTCCAATCGTTACACGATTAAAGGAATTCCTAATCTGCAGTGTAATCTAACTAAATGATGAAAAAAAGTCAAACTGGTTGTAAAAAAGCTCTTCATTTAATAGTAAGACTGCTGGTGGCAGTGGGTGATTTCAAACTATATACACAACGCACAATAATCAACATCTTTAAATCACAACTACACATAACATTATAGTCCATGTCAAAGTCCATCTGTCTGGAAGTCCCACAGGGATAATTAAGACGCCAAACGCTGATGACATGTTTCAACTTTCTGCCAAATGGTCAGATAACTTTTTGACTTAATAGCCCATAAATAAAAACATGCTATACACTTCTATAAAAGAGACAAAAATTGTACAGATAATATTACAGTATAATTCAAAACAACATTTTTTTTTAATAACTGGACGTGTAAAAACCTTTCATATGCAGGGCACCAGTCTGCAGCAGATTTGACTCAGCCTGAGATTCTGCTTCTCAAAAACAGACAGGTTGGTCATTTTTTTCCAATACCACTGTGGGCCGCATGTCCTGCAGCTGTTTCAACATGAGGTCTGTGACACCTGAAAAGGCCCTGTCTAGGATTATTTTAACCTTACTGAGGGACTTCAAATTCTGACGGTTGCTGAACCTGACGCAGGTGTCTTTGCTATTCAGACTGTTCGTTTTTCTCCGTACTTCTGGTACATCAACATTTCTCGTCAAGGAGTGTTCACATTTATTTGACTGTTCCAGGAATTTTAAGAAAGACATTTCAAATCCCATTGGTTTGAAAGAGGCCAGTGTGGCACTCTGCTCAGTCATCTCCTCCTGGGTTACAGCGGGGCAAGAGGAGTCGGATTCATCGTCCCTGCTGTAAACGACATCAATCTTGGTCGTACGCGGAATTTTCTTGCGTTTCACAATGTTTTCGATCAGCTTTCTTGGACGTCCTCGTTTGCGTTTTAGCACGACAGAGCCATCGGAACTTTCATCATTTGACAATTTGCTGTCGAACAATGCAGCGGGGATTCCTGCGGTGGTCCTTTTGCGTAGGACAGGCTTTGAATATCCATATTCCCCTCCTTCCAGGCCGGTGTCGGCTGTCACCTCACTGTCTGACAGGTCAGACGTGTTGTCTGATTTGGAGTCATCACTCCTGATGGGTCGGCACTTCTGCCTGGGGAACTTTTTGCAGAATATGAAGTGACTCCTTTGCTGTTCCAGGTACTTTTCTGACAGTCCGTGTCCCACGTAATGTTTCAATATGCTCCTCTCTGACTTCATGACTGACTCACAACCTTTAATCATACAGGGGTATTGTAGAGGAATTTTTTTAGTGCACATTGCAGATGCCTCCACTTTAGATTTTAAGGAGGGTTTTCCATATTTAGTCCAGTGATTTTTTTTCACCTTGCTAACTCTCTTTGTGTCACCTCCCCGCTGTAGGATCTTTTTATTGCTCTCAATGTTTTCCTTCCCATTACTCGTCTTGGTAATTTGGTAATGCAAAGTTTTAGAGTTCTGTTTCATCCCATCTTCTTTTATCTGTTGATTCTTTAGTTTAGGCTGGTAGAGGTCCTGATGCTTTTTCATGACATGTCTGAGCAGGTTTGACTTTGTGGCATACGAACGGTCACAGCCTTCAATTTCACACTTGAACGAGCCATTTAATTGTTCAGGTTTGGCCAACTTCATATCTTTATGCTGTTCTTTGACATGCCCTATATACTTCCAGAAAGCAGTGAAGGATGCTGTGCATCCTTGGTGGCCACAAGCAAACCTGCCCAGTTTAATGATGGACAAGATATTACCAACCTTATCAAGGCTGAATTCATGCAGCTGAAGATAATGCTGCAAAAGGTTGGGGACTTCTTGGAAAACTCGGGAGCAGTCTTTGACCTGGCATCTGAATTCAGAAATTTGGGGGATCTCTGCCTCTGGCTCCTCATCATTGTGGTCCATTATTTCATCCAGTCCCTCACTCTGGTCCTGCTCTTTGTTCACCTCCAATGCTGACAAAGCAGACTGGTGAACAGCCCTGTAGTGGAGGATCGAGGAGCGATTGTGCTGGATGGTGAAGGCAGCCACGCAGCCTTGATGAACGCAGCGATATGGTCTGTATGGACTCGTGGCATCACCTGAGCTTGGCTTCTTCTCTTTTGTCTTCTTGGTAATGTCTATGCTTGGCTTGGCAGACTGTTTGTCGAGAGGTGGAGGGCCATTAGCCTGACGCGTGGCAGACAGAGCCTGCGTGAGAGGAGCCGACCCTTTGAGCAACGGGGGTCCCACGTGTCCACTTGCGTGTTGAGCGGGTACCTTGGGAAAGTTTCTTTGCCGTCTGTGTGTCCACTGTTCTGCTGCCATCCCTGCTTGTGCTGAAACAAAGGCTGATGCAGAGATCTGGCCCTTTACTGGCGGGGTCATTGCTTGTTTGTGCACGGGAGCTGTCTGCAAGGGATGAATGACTGTTGAGCGACTGTCATCTTGGAATTTCCGATTAGTTATGTCCACATTAGTACATGGTACAAATGTTTGTGATGGGCAATCAGGTGCATCCTGGAGTGAATATAGATGAGTTCTGTTCTGCACTGACGAAGGAGTAGCCGGTGTGGTTTGAGTTGATGGATCCTGGTTTGTTCCAACAGGCCAGTTCTGCATAGCTGCAGCTTTGGCCAGTTTGCGCTTGGAATCTAGATCTGCTATTTCCTTAGCAGATAATTTATGAGCTGACTGGTAGTGAGTACGAAGGTTTGAATTACGAGTGAATCTTTTACTACATTTTTGACACTTGAAAGGAGCATATTGGCCATACCTTTTCTTAACCTCATTCACCATATCAAGTGTGTAGTTGTGAGTTTTGGAGAGGTGTTTCCAAAGCGCTTCACTTGACACTGAACTAAATGTGCAGTTCTCATTCTCACAAGCAAATGGCTTAACAACCAGTGACGATATTGATCTACGCAAAACGGCCTTTGCAGATCCTGCCTGGCTGTTTGTGGGATTGCTATTCTGCTCCGTGTTAGCCAACATCTGATCAGACATTTCTCTGACCAAGTTAAGCCTTTCAAATGCACTTTGAATTTCTGTCATCCACTGTTGCTGGCTGGCAGATAACTGAGTGGGCTCAAGATCTGCATCATTTGCTGCGATGCCTGTGGGGCTCAGTATCTCCTGCTGCGGGGTGGAGGTCTCTCTGAAGCAAGTAAAGCTCTGTGTGTTCAGTAATTGTTTAATTTCGCCAGAGGTTCCTGGGATGATTGCAGAGTTTTCTTGAATAACTTGTCCTTCACTTGCTGAGTCACTTATTGCGTTACCAGACATTTGATGAAGTCCAGAATTATTGGAAGGACTGCACACTGGACCAAAAGACTTGGGAGTCTTTGAATTGGCATTAGGGTCAGTCTTGCTTGAATGACATAAGCTGTTTCTACGTTGAAAGTCGACGGACAATATCTGCTCTCGCAGTCTCTTCTTAATATCTTGTTCAGCGGTCTTCCTTTGCATCTCAGAATGCTTGCCACTTCTTGTTGCTGGACTAAGCTTACTATCAGGTAACAGTCTTTGCCTCACTGGGTTCTGATCTGTATCTTGTGTCTGAATGGTTGTCTCAGAGTGATACCCTTCACTGTGATTCGTGGGAACAATTCCAGGAAGCGCAGTGGAAGAGTTTTCTGTAAGAATTTGTGTAAGAAGTGGGTCAGGGAACTCACTTCCAGCAAACGTATTAACGCTTGTCTGAGGATAATGGGCGGTGCTGTACGAAGTGTCCTCTTGTTTCAGCTGGACATTTTCTGTATGCTGTATGACTGAGCTCCCGGGCAAACGTTCACCAGCTCCATAGGGAACACAAGGGTTTTGGAACAATGGCTGGGGAGCAGGTGTGTGTACAAAGAGATCAGACATGTTGGATTCAGCCATGATTTGTTTAAGTATGTCATCATTTGACTCACCATTGCCATACACTGGCAAATTATCTTGTGGATAATTAGGAGTGGGGTAATCTTTTGTGGTTGTTGAACCATGTATTACTGACTGATGGGGCTTCTCCTGATAAACAGCAGCAGGATTATAAGACAACTGTGGTGGTGCAGTGCTAACTGTTTGCTCTGAATTGAGAAGGTCAAGAAATGATGCTGGCAGGTCTGTGTTCAGTTCCGACTCTTCATATGGTTTGCAGATTGTACGCTTGGACAAATGGCCTCCCAGGGATTTAGGGCTATTAAATTGCCTAAATCACCTGCAACAAACAAATTTGCCATCCCTAAGAATAGCTGGCCATTTGGTCCTTCTGTTTTTTCTGGTTCTCGTTTGATTTTCAGGACTGTTTTCAGAGCCAACTGAGCCATTTGGAGATTGGTTGTTACGGTTTTTTGGGCTTGCACTGTCTGGTGAGGGAAAACTGGACTGCACATGATTTTGCATTGATATAGGTTTTTCTGGTGCCCTGGAATCGGAGACTAAGTTGCTTTGCATCGGTGATATATAGGGTGGAAGGTGGTCAGCTGCTTGTTTTGACACTTCCTTGGCACGGTCCATGTAGGAGGTCAAAACTGACTGGGACCCATTTTTCAGAAGTGGTGACGGCAAAGACTGTGCTGGTCTGTTCATTGTTGATCCCATTATAGAGC